TTTGTTCTGGTGAGACATACCATCTTTTCTTTCATATTTTTGTTGTAGGAACTCTTACTTTTTGTGGATCCCTGAAGTGTGGAATTGCTGAAGATCTATCATCAAATAATCCTAGCCAGATCTGTTTACAGACTTCATTTCCATGTTTTTGCAGGAACTTAATTTCCTGTTATGTGAATATTATCATGGAGATAGAGTTCATCCTGTGTGGTAGGCTTAACCCTGGCAGTCTGTCGGGAGCAGGGAGTACAGACCAATGATCCCAAGGCACATTGTAGTAGGTGTAGCATGCTGGTCCCAGTCAAGCACTTTCTGTTGTGCTGTGCTGTGCTGTGCTGTGCTGTGAAGATGCTCATGTCCCGTAGCATCTTCAGGTGCTTCTCATGTTTCCACTTGGTGCTGGCCTCCTTGGCTGTGGCACAGAGGGAGGAGGTTGTGGGGGCCTGGGAGTTGGAAGGCGCTGTACTTGGGAGCCCATTGTCCCACAGGCTACCCTGGCCACAGCTGCCTTCTTCCGGTCTGCACACACCAGCACCACCCACCAGGGACCTGGGCACCACCCAACTGAACTAGGTTGCGCGTGGCTAACTGACCCATTGCCACACCAACTGGTGCAGCCCATACTACCAAGAGCAGAATCTTTCAAGTTTTGACTGGAGAATATATTGATAGACCTCTTTGGACTAGAAGTCTCAGTATCACTTTTATCAGAACACTTAACCTTTCCACTGCTGGAAATCCCTTGGAAAGCAACCATTTGCTATATTCCCTTTTCAGAGGAAAATCTTCCAGTCCTTTGCTTGAGTTGGGAAAGAGCAGTTACAAGAAGTGGGAGAGTAGATCTCGGAATCTGACTGCTTTCTTTTTATAAACATACAGCATTCATGCAAAAGAGAATATGCATAACTTAAAGAAAAAAATATATGAGTACCCCTGTGCTCACCATGCTAACAGCGAAATACAATACTACAAATACTGCTCCTTCAAAAGCCAGTGAGCCCCATGATTCCATTCACACTTTACCATAATTAACTATTATCCTGAGTTTTATGTCCTCTATTTTTTAGAACTAAATTTTTTATCCCATGAACATGGTATATCTTCTCATTTATTTAAGTGTTCTTTAATATTTTTCAGTAGAGTTTATTATTTTAAATAGAATGATATTGCATTTTTTGTTAGACATATGTCTTTTTATAAATTACATTTTTCCAACATTGTTAATGGAACATAAAAATACAATCATGTATATTTGTGTATAGCCCAAACCCTGCTAAATCTTACTAATGGTAATATATGTCTGTAGATTCTTTTGGGTTTTCTGTGTCAACCATCATATCATCTAAGCATAATAACAGTGTTTTTTTTTTCATGTAAATGGTATCTATTTGTCCTGGATAAGACTTCCAGTACAACATATTTTATACTTGAGATCTCAAGGGAAATTGTTTTCAGAGTTTCACTAAGATTAAAAGTTGGGCAACTTATATTATAGATAACTGGTACTAAGCAGGATAAGATGTGGTAACAAACAACTCAAAAAATTTTAGCAGCTAAAACTATTTTAAATAAAGGTTCATTACTTGCTCATGCCCTACCTCCATTGCTCATTATAGTTGATAGAGAAGCCATCATGAATATTGCTAGAAATGATGCTAGTGAAAAAAATAAAGCTGGGGAAAGTCTTACATTGGTAACTAAGTGTTTTGGCTTAGAAGTGACATGATTCTGCTCAAAACTCATTGGCCAGAAATAGTCATGTGGCCTTAACTGAACCACAGGGCCAGGAAGTGCATCTTCTCCAATAAAACCCATAAATCTTTTGAGAAACAATACTTAGTACTGCCAGCATCCTTTACAAGGTTGAGGTCTTCCCCCTGATTCTAGTTTGCTTATGTGAAGATGATTTTTATTCAATGTTTTTGCATTGGGTATATAGTTCTTTGTTGACAGTGATTTTCCTCTCTGTTCTTTGATGTTATCATTCCACTGTCTTCTGACTTCCATATTGCTGTTGCAACTCTTTTGTTAGCATCATTATCATTTCCTTTCAAATTGTATGTATACAGGAAAGGGTTAATTCAGCAGGCCTACACATTCCCACAATTCTCAGGACTGTCCCATGGCAAAGCTCCTGAGAGATGACCTTGGAGTATCCTGCCTGATAAGAATGTCTTTTATGTCCTGAACCACCCAGGTAGTTTATCCTAACAATGTGATTTTGGTAAATACCTGTTTTTGATACCTAAGTCTTTGGGCCACTTTGTATCAGCCTGACCTCCAGGGAACTAGGGTCTGAGCCAGAGCTCACTGAGCTTCCCTGGTTGGCAGCACCGTGCACACGAGAGAATTAATTGCTGTTCATGTGACTTCAACTAGGAGAGGATAACTCAGAGCTTGTCTATCTGGATTCAGCTCTCTAGGCCTTTTCCACAGGACTCCATTATGTACCTTTTCCTTTGCTGATTTTAATCTGTATCCTTTTGCTGTAATAAACCATAACTATGGGTATTACAGATTTTCTGAATCCTGTGAGTCTTTCTAGCAAATCACTGAGCCTCAGGGAGGTCTTGGGGTTTGATACATTTTTTCTTTCTGGCTTTTTTTAAAGTTCTCTTTATCTTGGGTATGCTATAATTTTATGAGAATGTATACATAAATGGATTAGTATTTTCATTTATTATTCTTTTTTATTTTAACTTTGTGCTATTAGGCTTCCTGAATCTGTGGACTCATGTCTCTCATCAGTGTGGGAAATTTCTAGGCTATTATCTGTTTTATTCTCTCTGGAATGGTAATTAGCATATGTTAGGCCCCTTCCTATCCTTTATATCTCTCAACCTCTTTTTAATATTTATGACCTATTTGTTGTATTCTGGGTAAGTTCTTCAGTAATTCTCTCTAGCTGTGTCTACTCTGCTGCTTAAACCTACCATCAAAATTTATTTCAACAATTTTATGTTTCATTTCAAGAAGTTCTAGTTGTTTCTTTTTCATGTCTGCTTTTCATTCCTCATAGTCTACTGCTTGTTTATCCATAAGATTTGAATTGTTAATCCTTTTTTTTTTTAAGATTTTATTTACTTATTTTTAGAGAGGGAAGGGAGGGGGAGAGAGAGAGAGAGAGAGAGAGAGGAACATCAATGTGCTGTTGCTGGGGGTTATGGCCTGCAACCCAGGCATGTACCCTGGCTGGGAATCGAACCTGGGACACTTTGGTTCCCAGCCCGCGCTCAATCCACTGAGCTATGCCAGCCAGGGCTGAATTGTTAATCCTTTAATCATTTCACACATTGTTATTCTATTCTGATTTGGCAATCTAATATCTTCTTTTCTGAGGGCTTAAATTCACTGGTTGATATTCTTATGTAGTCTTATAATGGTAGCTTTATTTCTGATGAGTTTGGTCTTTCCTTTATTGTTATAGTGAAACTATAGGAGGAGGTAAAATGTATTTTGTACATCATTTCTGCTTGGAACTATTCTCTGGGCTGAACTATTCTCTGGGCTCAGAGTTGTCTTGAATGACAACTCTGGCATTGCCCCTGACCATCACCATTTATTTTTCTTGCTCTTATTTGGTAAAAGTCCCACAGACATAAATTAGGGGTCCTATCATCCTAAGAGTATTTGTGTCTGTTTTTACTACAACTGCTGTAGCTAGGGTTGGGTATCAATCTGGGGCCACTTTAGTCCCCTTTAAAGATTTCAACTTAGTGTAGGAATCTCAGGTTCAAGCATTCCCTTTTTCCTGCTGGCCCATTAATAGTGTCATCGTCTGAGTCTGCCACTGTGTCCAGGGGCATGGAATACATTGATTGGCTAGGCTGGGGGATGTGGCCATCTTGGGGCTCAGAAGTATCATCAGCTCTACCTGATCCATACAGAGGGGGTGGTATACAGGCTGGTAGAGCAAATAGGTTCTCCCAAGAGAACTTGAAGTACCAGAAGGATGGAAAATGAATGCTGGGCTGGAAAATTTCAAATGTTCCTACTGAGGATGATACGGAATTTTATAGCAGGAAAGGTTTCTGTGTAGGCTGTATTTAAAGTGAGAGGAGCCCTTCCCCAAAAGGTATGGCTCAATTAGTTCAGCATCATGCTGCAAAGTGAAAGGTTGCTGATTTGATTCCCAGTCAGGGCGTATGCTTGGGTTTTGGGCTAGTTCCCTGGTTGGGGTGCATGTGAGAGGCAATCAATCAGTGTTTCTCTTACACATCAGTGTTTCTCTCCCTCTCTTTATCCCTCCTTTCCTCTCTTTCTCAAAATAAATAAAAATAATATTTTTAAAATGAGAGGAGCCCTGGCAGTGTGGTTCAGTGGTTGGGTGTTGTTCTGCAAATGGAAAGGTTGCAGGTTTGATTCCGGGTCAGGATACATGTCTGGGTTGCAGGTTCATTCCCCTCTCACATCGATGTTTCATTCCTTCTCTTTCTCCCTCCCTTCCCCTCTTTCTAGAATCAATGAAAGAAAAAAAAAAGAGAGGGTCCCTTGATAAATGCATCTTTACATTTGTGTACTAAGAAACAAATATATCACTTTTGAAAGATAAGGTATTTCTTTATTTTAGAGACTCTGCTTAATGAGAAATTGTCAAAATTACATGATTTGGAAAATCAAGGAAATCTGGTGTTTGACTCAGAATTCATTTTTTTAAATTCAGTAAATTTTGTAAACACTCCCCCACTTTGGAGTGCTTGAGTCTTGCCTCTATCATTGCTTTCTGTCTCTCCTTAAATAAGTTATCCACTCTCTCAGATCTAAGTTTTCTCATTTTACAAATGGGGATAATGTAATCTACCTTATTTGGCTTTTGTGAGTATTAAATAAGTGTTTTAAAGCCAATTAGTTAGTGTCCAGAGTGGATAAGTATTTCATAAATGCTGTTAATGAATATTTATGAAATACGGATGTTAAGACTATTTGCCTTTGAAATAAAATAACATATGAATGTAGTACCTGAAAGAATTATACAATGTCTGCTTTTTCTTCTTTTTCAGATTCCTTCAAATACATCAGAAATATGTTGTATAATTAGAGCATCACCAGGAACCAGACAAATGAAAAGTAAAAGTGTTACTGTAAAGAAGAAGAAATTTTCTTTTCCTAAAAGCATTCCTGAAGGTACCGTAGTGTGAATGCAGAGACTACTTTTAAAAAGCTATAAACGTGTTTTCCTACAGAGTTCTTGAGTACACAGGAAGTTCGGTTACAAATTGTATTGTGAGAGTTTCTGCACAAGTGCCAATAGTAAAATTACAAGTTTGGTCAGGTTTCAAAACCTTGTTAAAATAATTTTTTGAAAGTCAAATACTTCATCTTTTGAAAAGTTAACTAATACCACTGATTTAAAAGGTATTTAAGATAATTCCTTTTACTACTATTAGAAATTTAGTGTTGTTAGATTTTATTTTTAGTAGCCTTCTTTTTAACAGTATGGAGATGTTTCTGTATTTACTTAACATTGGTTGAACACTTTCTCTGTGAAAAGCATTCAGCTAAGCACCTTATTATATCTCATTAATTTCTCACTATGACTTTATGATAGAGAAGATTTGTACTATTATCTTCCTTTTATAGATTAAGAATCTGAGGCTTAAAGTAGTATGCAATTTGTCCAAGATTGTATGTCTACCAGGAAGTAGAAAGGAATTCAGTCTTTCTATTGAACTCCCAAGTTTAGGTTTTCTCTACTTCTCCCGCTGCATATCAAACCCCATTGATCCTTGTCCCTATTTTTTCCACAGAGCCTGTTCTGAGCACTCCTTAAATCCACAGAGATCTTCTTCTTTTCTAAGTTCCTTGTATTCTTAATTCATTGCTACTCATTTGATATTTAATAATATACTACTACCTGACATAATTTATAATGCTTACTTTTTATATTCTTTATGTTATTAAGTTTTTAAGGACAGAGGCTACATAGTAGACTTCTATTTCCATTTCTGATAACATTAGCATGGTGGTGGGGAATAGTAGAGGCTGTATCACTCCAAGTTCTACCAAAGAAATAGAGCTAGTCGGATGTGAATACATACTTCCAGGAATTGATGTAGAGCAATTGTAAGGTCTGGCTAAAAACTGTAGGGCAGGCTGGAGACTCTTAGGCAGGAGCTGATGTTGATGCAGTCCTCAGAAGGAATTTCTTCTGCCTCAGAGAAATCTCAGCTTTGTTTTAAGGCTTTTCATCTATTTGGATGAGGCCCACACACATAATCAAGGATAATCCCCTTTATGTAAAGTCAGTTGCAGCAACACCAAGATTAGTCTTTAATATAATTGGGTGACATAACCTAGCCAAGTTGACACATGCAACTACCATCACAGGCCACTCTATGTCAATTATGCATTCCTACACATCTCCTTAAACTATACTTGATCTCCAAATAAAGACAGTAACAAAGTCATACTTCTACCTAACATAATACAACTGTCCTACATATAATCAAAAATGTCCTAACTTTTTCCCCAGAAGAGGATTCAAAGTCCTTGGGAGATGTTTATTATTCACCTTGGTATTCTGAAACTCAACTATTCTGTATCTTAACTATGATATAAAGTTAACTATTACTAATACATCTTATGTTGAATAATATGAGCGCAAGAGAGGGAAGAAAACAAAGATATTTGCTTAATTAGTCATGTGGTCCCAACTGGTATTTATAACTACCTATCTCTACTACCCATTCCATATTCCCTCTGCTCTCAACAAGTACCTCAGCTAGTCATGGCTCTTTAATGGGTAGGGTGGCACAAACTCATTTATGAAGTGTCTGGGACTTTACTAGTCCTGCATGGATTGGGTTGTAGTTTTCCATTGACCTCGATCACAGGGCACAGTAATACTAAGGGATGCCCAAAGGGGTCTCCTGTATTCCACACATGCTCTTCCACTGTGGAGTAGTGGTCCATTTTGCTGTTGGTGGTCAGGATCAGTCACCCACCCCAACCAGTCAGTAACTCCTTTCTTTGCATGTTGACTCAGATGCATGAGGAGACTTAAGTGGCCAGACAGCAGTCTTTACTTCCAGTTCAGTGGAATTATTGTTGTATCTCCTGGCAGAAGCATTCCTCCCTTTGGAACTAAGGCCTCTACACCAATAGAGCATATGGTCATGGGAACAGGAAGCAAAAATTTAGCTAGTGGGCCACCAGGAGTAGTATTGAGTGGTCCCACATTAATTTCCACCCCCTAAATTTTTGGACCTTTGAATTCTAGTTGCAGGATGAATAGCACTGTATATTAGATGCTGATCCAGAGCACATACAACCTCTGGAGAACCTGCCCCAGCCCTACAAGGCATTGCACCCTAGCTGGTACTGTAACCGAGTCTTCAAAAAGCCATTTCACCATTCTGTTAAGCCAGCTGCTTCAGGATGGTGGGGAACATGGTAAAACCAGTGAATTCCATGAGCGTGGGCCTATTGCTGCACTTCTTTCGCTGTGAAGTGGGTTCCTTAATCAGAATCCATGCTGTGTGGGATGCCATGATGGTAGATAAGGCATTCTATAAGTCCTTGAATGGCGGTTTTGGCAGAAGCATTACATGCAGGGAAGGCAAATAATCTAGAGTTAAGTATCTATTCCAGTAAGAATAATATGTTGCCCCTTCTGTGATGGAAGTGGTCCAATGTAATTAACCTTCCACCAGGTGGTTGGCTGCCATGTTGGAGATGAGATATGGACTCTGCTGCTGACAGACTGGGTACTCAGCAGTGGCTATAGCCAGGCTGACTTTGGTGAGCAAAGTTCATCTTGCTGAGCACATGCATAACCTCCACTGGGCAATGACAGGAGTAGCTAGGGGAAAGGTTAACTGGTATCCACAGGATGAATCATCAGCTTGACTATTGACATCCTCCTCTGCTGAATTCACCCTTTGTTGAACATTCACATGAGACAGGTATCTCCATGGTTTTTTTCTTTTCTTTTTTTCTTTTTTACCTATTCAGAGAGCTTCTTTCTCACATTTCATTGTCATCAATGTTCTAGCCATGCCCTTTCTAAGTCTGGCCACAGTCCATGAATCGGTATGTAATTGTACATTAGGTCCTTTCTCTTCCTAACAAAGTGAAAAACAAGGTGCACTGCTCCAGGTTCTGTCCCACTGGGAGGATATCCCTTACCAGTTTCCTTCAGGGTTGCTCCAAGAAGGAGCTATAGGTACTGTAGCCATCTACTTTCAGGTGGTGCCTGCATATCATGCAGAAACATCTGTAAACCCAGCCTGAGTTTTCTTTTCCTCAGTCCACTGATTTTAGAGAATTCCCCATGATGCCATAAGTGCAGGTTGGACGAGAGAAGGTAATGTACCTGAAGCGGGGGCCATGGGCATTTGGATCATTTCCTAAGATAATTTACTTATGCCTTCAGGGCCTACTTGAGCCCAGTTGGCATACATACCATTTCCATTTGATAATGGAGTGCTGCCCTTCACAGCTAGCTTTATGGCTTGGTGCATCAGGCAACACACAATTCACAATGGGCAGCAGCTCTGCTCTTGTTATAACTTGGTGGCCCATGGTTAAGTATTCAGTTTCCACTAAGTCCCGGTAACAGGCCAAACACTCTTTGTCAAAAAGAGAGCATACTTATCCACAAAGAATGGGAGGCCGTTGCTCCAAAATCCTAAGGATCTGTGCTGTGATTCAACAGGCTCCAAACAGCACTTCTATCAGCCACTGACACTTCAAATACCATTGGATCAACTGGGTCATATGGTACAAGTAGCAGAGCATCTTGCACAGTAGCTTGGACCTGTAGCAGAGCCTTCTTTTGTTCTGAGACCCTCTCAAAACCATCAGCTTTTTAGGTCACCTGGTAAATGGTCAGGAGAAATATACTGAAATGAGGAATATGTTGGCTCCAAATCTAAAAAGGACCCCTAGGCATTGTGTCTCTTTTTTGGTTATAGGAAGATCCAGGTGCACCAACTTACTCTTTACATTAGGATCATATCTCATTTCACTGAACTCCCAGAAATTTCACTGAGGTAGAAAGAGACCCAGCAATTCCATTTCCCTGGAACCTGGAAACCCAGCACTTCTACTTCTAGGAATATATCGAACTATAATACATACGTTCATCAAAAGATTTATATTAAAATGTTCATAACAGCAATGTTGAAATAACCCCAAACTGGAAGCTGTCCAAATGCCCATCAACAGTGTAATGGTTAAGTAAATTCTGGTATATTCATGCATTGAAGTGCCATATAGCAGTGAGAGTCAATGACATACAGTTACATGCAACAGTATTGATGAATCTTACATAAGGAACCAGGCACAATAAAGTACATTTAATATTACTTGTATTTAGTACAAAACTAGGCAAAATTAAACTAAGATGGAAATCACTATAGTGGATGTCCTTGTTGGAGACTGGGTAGTAACTGGAAAGGGTTTTGAGAGGGAATTCTAGGATGCTGGTAGTATTTTGTTTTATTACCTGGATGCTGATTATATTGGTATGTTGTTTATGAAAACCCATGCAGTTGTATAGTACACATGTGTACATTTCTGTGTGCATGCTATCCTTCAATAAAAAGTTAAAAAATAAAAATAGAGAAACTTAATTTGATCTTTCTGGCCCTCATATTGGTTTCTGACATCAAGTAATATCACAGTTTTGGGTTTAAGTATGCAACAAATCAAAACTAAAATGTGTCTGGGAAGTTTGTTGGAGTGTTCAGATGGAAGTTTTTAGTTTAATTCTTAGAGACCCACTGATGCATGTTGAACCAATTGTGCCACCTTCTGGCTTCTTTTTAGGCTCTCACCTCATTCTCCTCGTTTAAGTAATTAATTCCCTTTCAACCTCTGGCCACTTGTCTCTGCCTTTCCTTTAGTAAAAATAGCAAAGCTCCAAGCTAACTAGTGATCATGTTATTTTAAACATGCAGCAGCCTATTTTTAGTCCTGGCATTTAACGTTTTAGCTAGTTTGGCAGTAATCTAATCAGCAGTACAGCGTGAAGCTCACTTTTGATGAGCTAGGAGTCCTGTTCAGTATGCTGTAGTTTCACTAATGACTGGCGCTATGCTGATTAAAGAACAAATTTGGTGAAAGTGAACCACTAGAGGAATCCAAAAGAGATTGATGGAAGAGGTGTGTGGGTAAGCAGAGCTCCAAGAATGGTGACAGCCAGATAGAAGAGGCTTTAGGAAACATCTAGTCCAACATTTCTCTGACCACCTGCATCAGAATCACTGCAGACCTGGTAAACAACACTCTCTTGAGATAAGGCACAGCAGCCTGCAATTTGATGTGTTCTCAAAGTGATTCCAACAAGCACTGACATTTGAGAACTATATAATGATCTAGTCTCTTTTGCTGACTTTACAAAACAAAAATGACCTAGCCAGATCTATAAGTGACTTGCCCAAGTTCACACAGCTGATTACTGGCAGAATAAGAACTACAACTTAGCTTTCTTGATTCTCAGTAGTTTAACTGGGTGGCTGTAAAATAGGGGTTGGGGGAGGTAGATAGGTCTCTGAGCTTCCTAGTTCATCCAGACAGAGCAGTTTTGCCTCTCTTTGCTTTATTGGGCTTCCGTATTCTATTTAAACAGAGTTGTTTGTTGTTGTTGTTTTGGTTTTGGTTTTGTCTCTGGGTTTTTTGTTTGTTTGTTTGTTTGTTTTTTGCCAAAAAGAGGTTGGGACAATAATTGCTTAGTACTTCTTACAGTTACTAGCAATGGATATCTAAAATATTGGCACTTTAATTTGACCCACATACATGTAGTAGGCACCGAAGTATTACCTGGGAATAAAGCACAGCATTAGCCCTCCAGGGCTTACAGACTAGTGATGAGATGAACCTCACAATCTTCTCTGTAAGGTGATAAACTAGAAGTAAAATGAGGCACTGCTGGAACCCAGAACTTTGCTTTGAAGTGTCAGGGAAGACTTTCAAGCTAACAATGCCCTTTGGAAAATTAACAAATCTGTGGCTATTCTTGTAGTAAAATTTTAAGATTTCTATTTTATTTTCTTCAAAAGAGGCGATAAATAGCATGTTATACATTTCTATCTCAAACTAAAAATAGGATAACAGCCTTTATTTTATACATGTATATAAAATATATGTAATAGCAAAAGTTTATATTTTTTAGATAATAATAGCAGGTAGAAGTATCACACAAAAATGAGATAGTAAAAGATTTGAGTATCTGAGGGATGGTAGTAGAAGTAAGTTAAGAGTAGGACATTACCACCCCCTCCCCCCCCCCACACACACAAAACAAACTGGCTGGTGTGGCTCAGTGAATTGAACGCTGGCCTGTGAACTGAAAGGTTGCTGGTTCGATTCTCAGTCAGGGCACAGTCCTGGGTTGTGGGCCTGGTTCCCTGTTTGGGAGGTATGAGAGGCAACCATGTATCTTTCACACATTGAGGTTTCTTTCCCTCCCTCCCCACAGTCTCTGTCTTAAAAAAAAAGATTAGGACATTTCTAAATCCAAATTTAACTCTGTCACATGAGCAAATTCCTTAAATCCTCTGAATTTTACCCTCTTGTCTGTAAAATTGTCATTAATAGTAGCCTTGCCTTACAGAATTGTTGCAAGGATTAGAGATAACCTATGTAAAGTGTCTGACATACAATAATCACTCATTATGCAATAATATTGTTTGCTTCTATAGGCTAGGTTAATTTCTGAAGTTCTAGCTCACTATATTTCCCTTTTCCCTTTGAAAACTTTGATTCCTTTGTTTTCATTAAATTGCAAAAAGCCTAAAATATATTATGTGGTTATTGTATTTGATAATAAATTTGGTTATGCCATCACATATAAAGAATGTATCAGGTAAGTATATGTAGTCTTTGACACAGACCCAGTGATCTAGTACAAATGCAGAGGTGAAGTACACCAGTTAGTTCCTTGGGGAAAAAGAAATCTAACTAGTTTGACATCATAGAGACCTTTTAAGACTGTTGATTTGGTGTCATGTAGCTATAGAATAAAAAGAAAAAGTTCTACTGTTTATTGTTTCATTCATTCAGCAAACATTTATTGAGTTGATGTCATATGCTAGACACAGTTAGTTGCAAATAATATTGAAATAATCCTTAGTTGTCCTTTGAAGTTTGTAATCTCATAGAGGAAATCAGATATATAAAACAAGTCCAGTGGAGGCATAGATGCTTTTGTAGAGCTCCGTGTAGGACCCTTTGGGGTACAAGGGAAGGTGGGAAATACTCTGCAGGATGATCTGAAGTCCCCAGGGGCATCCTGAGCACCAGCATCAATAAACACACAGAGGCCTAAAGCACCCTCGGGTAGTTAAGGAACTGAATGTAGTTATGTTCAGCTGGAATGGAGATTGGACTCTCTGAGACTGAGCTGTGAGTAGAAATCAGGGGTCAGGTTGTAGAGAGCCTCCTAAGTCATACTTATTTTGATTTTATCCTGGTCAGATTGCTCTTTAATTAGATCATTCTGGCTATAAACATGGAGGTGTCTTGGAAAGAAGTGAGCCTGGAAGCAGAAAGATCAGATGGGAGTTTTGCAAAAGTTATGATGAACAAAGTTGAGAAAATAGATATCTGAACTAGTGTATCTGAGTGTGGTACTCAGATCACCTGTGGAGTTTATAAATAAGGCATATTCCCGGTCACTGCATCAGCAGTCTGGCCCAGAGTGCTGGGATTGGAGAACTGGTTTACACGGAAAATGTTTGTTGGTGTGATCACCAGGGCTTAGTGACTGATTAGGTACTGGTACAGGGTAGTGAGAGAGGGCAGTTAGAAGAAATGACACATTCTAGGTGATGTCAGGGGAAAATACAGGGCATGGTTTTGGATGTATGTATTAAGGCTGAGGAGGGGTAGCTAAGACTGGGTGGGATGATTACCCACTTGGGAAGTTAATCAAAATTTGGAGCAGAAAGGACGACTGTTGCCATATTCTTTAATAAATGAACAGACAGTGTCTGAGGTCAGTAAAAAGCAATAATGAGGAGCAGAGAGGGTAGAATAGCCAGTGCTTCCCAAATTTTAATGTACTTACGAGAATTGCTTGTGGATCTTGTTAAAAATGGAGATTTTGATTCAGTGTGTCTGAAAGGAATCCCAAGATTCTAATAAACTCCTGGGTGATGATGACGTTACTGGTCCATGGACCACACTCTGAATGGCAAATGTATAGGTCTCCGGTGTTCAAACTCAGCTGTACATCAGACTTTCCTGAATATTTGAGTCCCTTGCCCAGAGATTCTGATCAAATTGCTATGGAGTATGGCCTGGATATCAGGACATTTAAAAGTTCAGTTGATTCTAAGGTACAATGAAATTTGAGAAGCATTGATATAAATAGGCTGATTAGGTCAGCAGGTGAGGTGTATCATATGAAAGTGACAATAGGAATAAGTAAAGCTGGTTCCACTCTGGATCTCCGGGTACAAGATTCGGGGGATGGAAGGGAGGTGCAGGAGAAAGCCCCAGAATCCTGTATTGGGAAGAATCTGGGCTCAGTTAAAACAAAGAGTAGGAGAATGTAGAGGAAGGGTAGAGGGGGAAATGTGTGGGACTTTGGCTTGGGTGGTGGCTGAGGAGGACAAGGATGATTTACTCCAAGTTACAAGACTGGGGACAAAGGACTTGTGATAGCCACTGACAGCCATCCTTGCTGGGCTTTTTTCCACTGGAATGTTATGGAGCAGGTCTTTTTGTGTGTCCAAAGAGAGTGTCCTCAATGTGTCCAGGAAGGAGTGGGCCAGCTATTCCCCTGCACTTTTTTTAATGGACCCTAGATTTGTTTCTTTGGGCTTGATGGGATGAAACTAGAGTGGTCTGGGCATCAAGAGCTCTCTCCCCAAAGTCTGATTATTAATAACTATTAATAACCTGCTTGTGATATATATGAAGTAATTGATTGTTTTTTCCCCCCTCCAGATATTATAATAAAAGCAAATGGCAGGATGTAGCAGCTGTGGCTGAATTTTCACCACATTGAAGACATGAATGTGAAGTCAAAGTCCATAAAGCAGAATGTCTGCCTGAAATTATATCAGATTAAAAAATCAGACTTCTCTAATTATTTGTAATATATCCTAGTGTTAAAATTCTGAGATTCTTACAAATTACCTTTAATCAGATAAGAGAGAAACATTTTTCTGTATGCTTCTTAAATATATATATTTGTATTGTAAAATAAGAAAAAATAGCTTATATTAGAGGACTGTACACTAAATAGATGATTTCAACTATTTATAAAGAGCCAACACCAGAGCTCTGTGTAACCTCCTTTGATTGTTTTTCCCAGAGTTTATCCTTTGTATTGGTTGAAATTAGTAAAGTTGTTAAAGCACTAAAAATGAAAATGCTTATATTACAAACTGTTTTTAACAGAACTTAATTGAAACCACATAAGGAGAGAACTAATTTCAGGTCTGACTGAAAGAAACTCTACACTCAAGGTTTGCTGAAGCAGGGAATGTATAATATGTACAATAAGTCATGCAGACAACAGTGTGGTGATGGCCAGAGGGAAGGGGGAGAGTGGGCTGGTAAGAGGGGCCCAGAGTGGGGGGAAATAAGGACATCTGCAATGGTGTCAACAATAACAATAAAGAAAAAATAAATCATACACTAAATATTTAGCATATCACCTTATCTCCAAACAACTTTCTTTAGCTAATACTATCTGTAGGATTTTTTTTTTGGTACTATAACTGCTCACATCTCAACAGTGCCCTTCTTACAAAGCAGTGATTCTGTTGTCAGTTAACATAGTACAGTTGTGTGACTGTTAGTGAGATTTTAACTTTGATGGTTTTACTAATGTTATTATATTGATACATAAAAGTAAGTAAGAGTCCAATTTTTGAAGCTGTTTCCATAAGAAAGAAAATTTTAAAAGTGATTAATTTGAGGTTATATAACTTATATAGCATTTATTTTTAAATAAGTCCCATAAAGATATTCTTGCAAATGATTTGACAAGGCCTTAAACCACTAACAAAACTATTTGTGATTTTTGTTTTACATTTTCATCTGCAGGTGAAATATGGGAAAATTTTTAGGAGATGCAGAAAGATCATTAATGATGGTGGTTGGAACCAAATTTAGACCTGAATTCGAAATCAGTACTGAACTAAGTCAATTCTTGTTGTAGTTTTAAAAAGCAAAAATGTGATAAGCAGAAGGGGTAGAGGAAATTAAATAGAAGGTTTGTTCCCTGCCTTCAAGGACTTTATAATCCAAGGGCAGGAGAAGAGAATTATAACATTACTTGACAGTTTAATCAGGTAGTAGGTTCCTATGAGAAAGAATGATACCTAATTCTTAGACTGAGCATAGTGGAGCTGGAGGAAATAAACATTTGATAGTTTCATATTGCTGTTAAGGAAAATATAGCTCAGAGATAAATACTTGGCTAGGATCATGTGATTTAGAAAGTGACAGAGCCAGAATTTCAAGGCAGGACTATTTGAGTCCAGTGTTTTATTTGTTTGTTTGTTTTGTTTCTTTCTGTATCATCAGCTAAAATGCAGGGAAAGGTGGGAAGAGGAAAGGAGCTGCAACTGGTGTTCAAGGCTTAGGGGTGGAGGATGTAACTTTAATTATGATTAAGAGGAAGGAAAGTAGAAGAAGCCTGTTTGCTGTCTGGCAGACAGGAGAGGCCCAAAGAGGATTCCTGTTGACAAACCCTAGGAGAAGGTGTGTACTCTTACCTCACACCTGTGGGTAGGTCTCATAGGACTTTCAGTGAACCTCCCTGGAAGAGTATCAAAAACAGATCTTCATCTGTTTCTGGAGATAGTTTTCATCACATTTTCAAAATGGTCTGTGATCTTAAAAATGTCAACTATTGGACTGGATCCCTTACTTTAGCATATAACCAATTAAATTTAATGTTTAAGCATTTAAACTTTTATTTTCAAATTATACTTCATGAAAAAAAAATTGGGTCACAAGTACCTAGAAAATACAGTTAAAAATGCATGAAGTACACTATGCAGGCATGGTGTAATTTCCATTAAATTTTTAAAAATATTTTTATTTTTAATTACAGTTCACATACAATATTATATTAGTTTCAAGTGTACAACATAGTGGTTAGACATTTCTGTAACTTAAAAGGTGATCATCCCCATAAATCTAGTACCCATGTAACACCATACATTGTTATTATAATATTATTGATTATATTCCCTATGCTGTACTTTACATCCCCATGACTATTTTATAACTACCAATTTGTACTTTTTAATCCCTTCCTCTTTTTCACCCATCCTCCCAACCCCCTCCCATCTAGCAATGATCAGAATGTTCTCTGTATCTATGAGTTTGTTTCTGGTTTTTTCTTCATTTATTTTGTTAAGAAAAGCTAAAGGAGTTCATTACCACCAAATCAGTATTACAAGAAATGTTAAAGAGACTTTTTTAAGAAGAAGAAAAGATTAAAAATTTGAATAATAAAATTCTAATAACTACATATTTATCAACAATTACTTTAAATGTAAATAGATTAGGACTTCCAGCCAAGATAGAGGCATAGGTAGAACACTGCATCTTCTTGCACAACCAAAAGAAGGACAACAACAATTTTAAAACAAAAAAACAACCAGAACTGACAGAAAATTGAACTGTATGGAAGTCTGACAACCAAGGAGTTAAAGAAGAAACTCTCATCCAGACAGGTAGGAGGGTCGGAGACGGGCAGCTGAGAGGAGAGGACTCAGGCAAGGCAGGACCAGGGCAGGCAAGGCAGCAGCTGGTGGACCCAGCAAGGCGGTGGATTGTGGAGTGGGCAGTCCCACGCTCATATGCAGATAAACTGGGAGAAACAACTGGGGAGGGGGGTAGATTGCACAACTCAGGGCCCCAGCTCGGAAAATAAAGCCTCAAACCACAGATTGAAAACACCTGTGGGGGTTGAGGTGGGAGCAGGAGAAACTCCCAGCCTCACAGGAGAGTTCGTTGAAGAGACCCACAGGGTCCTAGAATGTACACAAACCCACCCACATGGGAATAGCATCAGAAGGGCCCAATTTCCTTGGGGAAAGTTGGAGAAGGAACTGAAATCCAGCAGAGAGCAGAGCAAGTACCATTGTTCCCTCTCAGACCCCTTCCCCATCTATGTTGTCACAACACAGCACTGGGTTGCTCTGCCCTGGACAAAAAGGCCCAAACAAAAGAACAGATCAAAGCTCCAGAAAAAATACGACTAAGCGACGAAGAGATAGCCAGCCTATCAGATGCACAGTTCAAAACACTGGTAATCAGGATGCTCACAGAATTGATAGAATTTGGTTGCAAATTAGATTAAAACATAAAGACCATGCTAAGTGAAATAAAGGAAAATGTGCAAGGAACCAATAGTGATGGGAAGGAAACTGGGACTCAAATCAATGGAGTGGACCAGAAGGAAGGAAGAAACATTTAACCAGAAAAAAATGAAGAAACAAGAACTCAAAAAAATGAAGAGAGGCTTAGGAACCTCCAGGACATCTTTAAATGTTTCAACATTTGAATTATAGGGGTACCAGAAGGAGAAGAGGAAGAGCAACAAGTGGAAAAGTTATTTGAACAAATAATAAAGGAGAACTTCCCCAATCTGGCAAAGGAAATAGACTTTCAGGAAGTTCAGAGAGTCCCAAAGAAGTTGGACCCAAGGAGGAACACACCAAGGCGCATCATAATTGCATTACCCAAGATTAAAAGGAAGGAGAGAATCCTAGAAGCAGCAAGAGAAAAGTAGACAGTTACCTACAAAGGAGTTCCCATCAGACTGTCAGCTGATTTCTCAAAAGAGACCTTACAGGAAAGAAGGGGCTGGAAAGAAGCATTTCAAGTCATGAAAGGCAAGGATCTACATCCAACATTGCTCTATCCAGCAAAGCTTTCATTTAGAATGGAAGGGCAGATAAAGTGCTTCTCAGATAAGGCCAAGTTAAAGGAGTTCATCATCACCATGCCCTTATTTTATGAAATGTTAAAGGGACTTATCTAAGAAAAGAAGATAAAAAAAACATGTATAGTAAAAGGACAGCAAACTCACAATTATTAACAACCACACCTAAAGCAAAACCAAAAGAAACTAAGCAAACAACTAGAACAGGAACAGAACCACAGAAATGGAAGGTTAGCAACAGGGGAGTAGGAGGAGGAGAGAGGGGGAAAAGGTACAGAGAATAAGTATCATAGATGGTAGGTAGAAAATAGACAGGGGGAGGGCAAGAATAGTATGGGAAATGTAGAAGCCAAAGAACTTACATGTACGACCCATGGACATGAACTAAAGGTGGGGAATGGGGTGGGAAGGGTTGTGCAGGGCAGAGGGGAGTGAAGGGGGGAATGGGAGAACTGTAATGGCATAATAAAATATACTAAAAAAATTAATGTAAATGGATTAAATGCTTCAATCAAAAGACATACTATGGTTGAATGGCTAAGAAAACAAGATGCTTCCATGTGCTGCTTACAAGAAACTCACTTCAGATTGAAAGTCCCACACAGACTGAAAGTAAAGGAATGGCAAAAGATATTTCATGAAAATGGAAAGGGAAAAAAAGAGAGCTGAGGTAGCAATACTCATACCAGACAAAACAGACTTTATTTTTTTAAGTATTTTTTATTGATTATGCTATTACAGTTGTCCCAAGTTTTCCCATTTTGCTCCCCTACACCTGGTACCCCCTGTTCCCTCTGGCCATCCTCCCCCACTTAGTTCATGTCCATGGGTCATGCATGTAAGTTCTTTGGCTACTCCATTTCCTATGCTCTTAGCATATCCATGTCTATTCTGCATCTACCAATTTGCACTTTTTAACTCCTGCACCATTGCTCCTATTCCCCCTTCCCCCTCCCAGCTGATAATCCTCCTAATGATCTCCATATCTATGATTGTGTTTCTGTTCTGCTTGTTTCCATAGTTTGTTCTTTAGATTCAATTGTTGATAGTTGTGAATTTATTGCCATCTTAATGTTCATAGTTTTGATCTTCTTTTTTT